TAACTCTTTCACATTTCCATTTAGGAATAAAAATAGGTTGCAACAATCCAGATGGTACTTGATATTATGTTTTTACTTGTTGGTATGTTAAGTATTTAGAGACAAACTCAGTTATAACCTTTTTCATGCCTGACCACATATATCGACTCTTCAAGTCATGATACGTCTTGTTTCCTTCAGGATGCATCGATAAAGGATTATAATGTGCCTCAGAGATGAGTTATTTAATCATTTCTTCATCGTTTGGAAATACAAATTCTTCCTTGATAGTATAAACATCCATTAGACTTAATTTCAAAGTCTTTGGTTTCACTTTTTTCTACTTGCTCGATTATTTATATGTACTTTTCATTCTTTCTTTGAAGATCCTTTATTTTCTCCAATAAAGTGTTCTTTAATCTCTATTTCGTAATTGGAACGTTATTCTCTTTTAATGATAGTTGTGCATCCAAAGCTCGCATGGCAGAAAATATCTTTCAACATAAAGCATCAACTACTACATTAGATTCTCCCAAACTATAATCAATGATCACATCATAAGTTTTAAGAAGCTCAATCCATATTCTTTGTCTCAAGTTCAAATCCTTTTGAGTTAACATATACTTCAAACTTTTATGAACGGTATAAATATAACATCATTCACTATATAAATCATGAGTATGATAATCATTTTCACATGTCTTAAGTTGCCTCGAAGCATAAGCCATGACTTTTCCTTATTGTATTAATACGCATCCCAAACCATTATAAGATGCATCGTTAAAGACCTCATAGTCATTTCCCAATTATGATTGTACTAGCACAAGGGTTTCTGTTATTTTTGTTTTTCAAGTGTCTCAAAATATCTCTTGGCACTTATCAGTTCAACAATTAATATACTCCATACTTCAGAGACAGTATTCAGAGATCTCCAATCAAAAGTACTTTGTACTCTCTTGATATCCACTCTAATTCCTTATACTGAACCTACATAGCCAAGAAAAGTAACTTCGGACAACCAAAATTCACAGTTTACTAACTTAGCATATAACTTTTTCTCTCAAAGACTCTAAAGAACGATGCGAAGATGTGCATTGTCAAATTAACTTAATGCTTATATATATGAGTTAGTAGAACCAACATCAATCAATACATATATAGTTTTATCATAAAGATAACACATACCTAAAATGATCTTTGGATCATTTTCATATTCAAAAATCTCTGGGTCATCTTCTTCTTCTTGAGACATAAGGACAAACTTCTCTAGAATACTATCATTGTTTTTCTCATGAGTAAGTTGTGACCACATCTCAGCTTCTTCTTCATTATAAGGTGGGGCATTCCTTCCACAAAATGAAGGGAAATATCTTACAACACTAACTTTCCTAGGACAAAATACTAAAGTATTTTCTGGTCGGTTTAAGTTCACTAAAATCACGATCTTCTTATTAACATTTTTATCTTCTTTATCATTCATGTTAGCTTCATCCTGAAGCTTGAAATTGATCGTTCGAGGCAATCCTTCTGCTTTTGATATCTAATACAAACACATATTCATCTCAACTTACATTAGTAATGAGTGACATCAATCAAATCATAGAAATATCATATCGGTAATATTGATATCCTAGTGGCATGTACACACTTTTGAATTCAAAGTAGACTCGATTTAGGCCTAGAATCGGCTAAACCTGTAGCTCTGATAAAATGTAACACCCATTTCCCGTATATGTTACTGAATAAGGGTCTAAGATGTTACATGATACTTTTAAAACATTCCTTATTTAAAAATCTGTAAAATTTATTTCTTTCTAAACTCATTTAAATATGTTAAAAACTCAAAATTTTCTAAATAGCGTAACATCAAATTATAATATTTTAATATTCAACTCAAATCCATTTTCAAGCAATAACATGACAGTTCAATATTATTTCATACGAAAAGTGACACTGCCTGAAAACTGCCTAAAATAAAATTTGTTTTAATAACAAATAAAATAAAATATACTAAAATACTAACTAGTAAACCATTTTTATAACTGATAATAATAAACAATCATTATCCATTTTAAACTAGTTTCAAATATATTCATATCATATTTTACTTACTGAAACCCTCGTAATTAACTTTTACATATCATTTAATATCATAGACATATAAGAGAATCACGACATATAAAAACACATGCCAACTAGAAATCAAACAACAGTAGGATGTCATTATAGATTCCGGTAATATACCTTGATAAGTGATGCCAAACTAAGCTCCTTACTCCACTCGACTTCCTTCACCTACGCGTGAAAATCATCGCACGCTAAGTATATACTTAGTGAGGCATTTTAGTAATTTTAAAATAAATAATAAAATATCATATAAAAACATTTAATAAAACCAATTTGACTTATCAAAGTCAATATCATATAAAATAACTTGTAAATAAGCATCTCATATATATAAGGCTTTCAATGGCATTCTCGATGAAAACTTTGTTCCAAATCAAGTATATTAAACCTGTACTTTTCCATCTCACTTCAATTCTTGTACTTTTCATTCCATTTCAAACATGTGCCTTTCACCTTTATTCATTTCATAGCCCAATGTAAACCAATGAGAATGCAAGGTATGCGAGTTATATGAGCATATACATATATAAAGCACAAGTATTGTAGAACACAATATCAACATGATAATAATAAGTAATACATCGCACCAACATCACATACGTGCAAGCACTAATATCATATATATGCCATAAAATGTATTTCGGATGTACATTAGCACCACCGTCACATAAGTGACATCAGACGTGCTAAATACTCCACCTCTATGGCATGCCAATTATACCTATGATTCTCAATGCATTTACAATGGGCATTTTCATCAAAATCACATATCATTCATTGATCAAAATATTCTTAGATGTCAACAAAATCAAATACCATATATTAGTACAATGGGCAGTTCATATCCGAAATCATTCAAATTTATTTAATAAAATATTAGGAAAAATATCGTAACATAAACCAAATCATTTTCATTGTCAAACTTTCAAGGTTGGCTCATCACAAGCCAAATCATTCAAAAGAAATCATTTAACAAATTATTATGAAAATATATCAAATTACGATTTAAAACTCTTTTCTTTCAAAATATTTGAGGTTGACTCATCTCAAGACTTCCTCATTTCAAATATAAATAAGGTATAAATGCACTTACCTGGTAATACCTCACTAGTAACCTTACTTAGTGATTCAAGCTTCACTCTTGAACTTTTTCTTTAACTTTAAGCTTGCTTTAATCTCGATTTTGGTCACGATCTTAAGAGACTCAGGACCATGGAAAGAAAGATGAAACATGTTCTTGAAATTTTTTTATTTTATTTAATTAAGCCAATTGTCATGTATTTAATAAAATGAATTTAAAATTTATTTTATTACAAAATGGCCACTTTACCCTTAAAATCCAAACCTCATCATCATGCCACATGTTCCATCCAACTATTCTGATTTAACATGAAAAATCTAAAACACATGAAAACGTCATTCTTGGGGGGAAATTATTCATTTACGAGACCATATTACATAACTTTTTAAAATTACACTTTCATCCCCACACTTTTCCCAAGTTTACACTTTGACCACAAAACTTTCAAAGTTTTCATTTTCGTCACTAGAAAAATTTTGGGATATTACAAAACATACCATGAAATAATGACTACATGGACAACATAGAACATGCCAATAAACTTCTTCAAAAAAATTTAAAGTTTCAAGATTCGTCTGATTGAAATCTCCAGTTAAAAATGATGGTCAAATGATGGTAGATTGATAAGATGAAAAGATAAAAAAAAATATGATGAAACAAATATGACCTTACCAAATAATTATTAATAGATTATAGATCATCAGTAACTATTATCACGGACCCCGGCCATGAGGGCGAGTCCAACACCAACCAGCGAACATCCGCGCGCACTAAAGCACTCTCAGGCCCATACGCATCAGGCAGCGCACCAAGTCTGCCCCAAAATGCACCAAGGGATGTGCCAAGCCTGCACCAGAATTGGATAAGGCCAAGCACACTGTGACTCGGGCCCTCTCCCAGCTAAGACCGACACTCCCTAAGAAAAGGGACAAAGCCACAATCATTATTTAAGTAGGATTCAACCTTTAGACTTTTAAATAAAGTAGGGATGTACTTTTAGTCAGAGTATAAGTAGACTTAGTTATTAACTCTTAGGAGATTCTCATTATAAAAAGGGGCCTCCCCACCCCTATTGTATTCATTCATTCTTTCTCTTGGAAATAAGACTAACCCGACTTTCAAGCAAAATACTCTTTATGCATCTCTTATTTCTGTTCATACTCTCTTTGTGCTTACTTTCATGACAAGCTAAGAACCCAAACCTAGGTTTCAAGGCTGCCTTCGCACCCATCGATCGAGAAAAGCGATTAAAGGCTGCACGGACCAGCTAACCAATAATCTAGCCCCGTGTCAAGTGGTATTAGAGCTGATTCATGACTAGACGAGATGGCTCCACAATGTGGCGAGGCAGCAACATCCAAGGGGGTTGATACTCGCAGTGCAGAGAAGAAGCGAGGAACGTCGAAGGAAATGATCGCATCGCTTCAAGGTAAGATCACCAAACTTAAAGACACCGCGAGAGAGACCAAGGAGGTTTTGGATATGTTAAAATCTATCGATCTTGAGAAGCTGGGATCACTAGATCTCGAGAAGCTTGAAGCCTTAGAGATTATCCAGGAGGGAATGCAAGCGACACTCAATAGATTCGATACGAAGGATTCTCAACAAGAAGATGTTGAAGCCCAAATCTTAGCTCTATGACAAGAGGTCGAAGAACTTAAAAATAAGGGTTCTGGGACCGAATTCAAAAACCTAAAGAAGGAGATCAAGCAACTCAAGGCCAAGGTGGCCTTGTGCAAGGCCGGACTGAAGTCCCTAAAAAAAGTTTAAAGGGACCAAATTGGCCAAAGATGTGGAAAATTTTATGTAGGACATGGATCAATACTTCCGAGCCATGGGCATCAAGAACGATATTGAAAAGGTAAACATTGCTTCTGTTTACTTAACGAGTTTAGCACTCTTATGGTGGCGACGTAAGTGCATCGAGATGAAACGAGAAGACACCACTATGGGAACATGGACAGAGTTTTAAAATGAATTCAAAGAATAATTTTACCCTCATCATACTGAGAATGAGGCACGATCAAAACTAAGGGAGAACGTTTGACAATTTTTTGAGTTAAGCCTACAAGTCTCGAGTCTAAGTGAAGAGTACGGGTTCTTCATATTCATGGATGGGCTGAAGCTATGGGCGAAGAACTAGTTAGAAAATCGAGGAGTCAAGGATCTTGCCAAAGCCTTGACTACCGCTGAGTCACTCAATAGAACTTGGGGTTTGAAAGTATGACTCCTCCAAATCAAAACATAAAGCCAAAGGATGAGATAAGGAGAAGTCATTCAAAGGAAAATCGAACAAAGAATCAAGTGGCCCTGGAAAGACAAGGAATAATATAACCCAACAAGGGGAAAAGAAAGAAGAACAACCTATCTAATGCGACAATTGCAAGGGTCTAGGACACTTGACTAGGGAGTGCTCTAAAAGAATCAACTTTATGTCTTCGAAGGAACCGATGAGGAAGAAGAAGAAGTTGAGACTCTTAAACTTGGATCCATCATCAGTACCATAGAAGTCAAGAAGGGTCAAAAGAAAAAAGGACTAATGTTCGTGGACATCTCCATAAAGGGGAAAAAACTAAGTGCACTTGTGGACACCGGTGCCTCAGAACTATTCATGCCCGACCAAGTCGCAAGTAGACTCACCCTTCAAATAGATTTGGCGAATGGCTTCATCAAAACCGTGAATGCTAAAAAAGCTCCAATCACAGAAATCTCCAAAGGAGTTGAACTCAACATAGGAAGCTGTACCGGTAAAGAAATCATCAAAGTAATTCCCCTTGATGATTTTGATGTGATATTCGGGTTAAGTTTTCTCGGAAAAAAAAATCAATGCCTTCTCAATCCCCCTTGCTGAATGTTTATGTATATTGGACCCAAAGCATCAATGCATTGTCCCAATTAATCGATGACCCAGAGTGGGGGCAAAGGTTATATCCGCAATACAATTGTCCAAAGCCATGCACAAGAATGAGTCAACCTTCCTGGCAACACTAGTAAGCGAGACACAAATTGCAACTGAATATGTCTCACGGGAAGTAGGACAACTATTTACTGAATTCAAAGACATAATGTCTCCCAAACTACCCAAGGCATTACCACCAAAAAGGGAAGTGGACCATAAGATAGAACTTCTACCAAACGCAGAACCACCCGCCAAAGTACCCTATCGAATGGATTCACCATAATTAGAAGAGTTACGCATACAGTTGAAGGAACTCTTTGATGCAGGTTACATCAGGCCTTCCAAGGCACCCTATGGAGCACCAGTACTGTCTCATAGAAACATGATGGAATACTTCGAATGTGCATAGATTATCGAGCCCTAAACAAGTTCACCGTGAAGAACAAGTATCCAATCCCCCTTATTGCAGACTTGTTTGATCAACTTGGCGATGCAAGGTGGTTCACCAAGATAAATCTGAGGTCAAGATATTACCAAGGTAGAATTGCTGAATGAGATGAACTAAAGACATCATGTGTAACACGTTATGGTTCATACAAATTCCTCGTGATGCCCTTTGGACTCACAAAATACCCCCGTAACATTTTACACCCTCATGAATAAGGTATTGCAATATTTTCTCAATCAATTTGTTGTTGTATACTTGGATGACACTGGAAGAACATGTCCAACACCTGAGGTACGTGTTCCAAGTCTTACGAGAAAATGGGTTATTCGTCAAAGAAGAGAAGTGCTCGTTTGCCCAAAAGAAAGTCCCCTTCCTAGGCCACATCATAGGAGATGGTATGATCCAAATGGATAAGGACAATATCCGAGTCATTGAAGATTAGAAGTCGCGAACCAAGGTAACCGAACTAAGATTTTTTTTTTAGGATTATTCAATTACTATAAAAGATTTGTCAAAGACTAATCCATGATTGCCACACCCTTACCCGAACTACTTAAGAAAGATAAGACATGGGTTTGGGAACAAAAATGTCAAGAGGCATTTGACAAGATCAAACTCACTCTAATGAGTGAGCCAGTGTTGTACCTATCATACTACAACAAATCTTTCAAGATTCACACTAACGCATCCGATGTTGCCATCGGGGGAGTCCTTATGCAAGATGCACACCCAATTGCCTATGAAAGTCGAAAACTCAATGAGATTGAAAAAAGATACTCATTCCATGAAAAATAGATGATTGACGTAATACATTGCTTACGCCTATGGAGACATTATGTCCTTGGATCAAAATTCATAGTGTTTGCCGACAACATCGCGAACAACTACTTTTTGACCCAAAAGAAGTCCCCAAAACAAGCTCGTTGGCAAGAATTCATTGCCGAATTTGATTTCTCCATGGAACATAAGTCAGGAAAAGTACATTGTGTCACCGATGCCTTAAGCCGAAGGTATAACATCGAAGTCATTAGCTCACCAAAGGGACAAATGTTAGAACACATAAATGAAAGGCTATCGCATGATCCAAAAGCCAAATCGCTGATTGAATATGCCAAATAAGGCAAATCCATAATGTTTTGGCTTGAGAGAGAGATCTACTATATGTCTGTGGGTATCGCATTTATGTGCCAAAGTATGGGAAGCTACGCAAGGAACTTTTTATGGAATGCCATGATTCCAAGTGGGCAGGACATCCCGAGATACATATAACAATGGCCTCGTTAAATGAACATTACTACTGGCCGCACATGAATGAATACGTTGAGACCTACGTAAATATGCCTTGTGTGCCAACAAGATAAGATAGAAATGAAAAAAATTAGCAGGATTGCTACAACCTTTTCCCATTCCAGAACGACCATGGAAAAGTATCTCAATGGACTTTATCGTCGGACTCCCACACTCGGATGGACTATCAAGCATCATGGTGGTAGTTGATAGGTTCTCCAAGTATGGAACATTCATCCCCACATCTAAAGTATGCCCAGCCGAGGAAGCAGCTCGCATGTTCCTCAAACATGTAGTAAAATATTAGGGTGTTCCAAAGATAATCATCAGCGACTGAGACACCCAATTCACAGGCAGGTTTTGGACCAAACTATTCAAATTTATGGGGATAAGTATGAACTTTTCAACTACATTCCACCCACAAACCGATGGGCAAACCGAAAGAGTTAATACATTCCTAAAAATTTACCTTAGGCGCTAAGTAAGTGCTACACAACGCGACTGGCCAAAGCTCTTGGACGTTGCACAATTTTCCTACAACGTGCAAAAGAGCAAAGCCACCAACCAAAGCCTGTTCGAGATTGTAAATGGGCAGCAACCGCTTACACCCAACACGGTTATAATCGAGTACCAATGACCCATCCATCAGCTTATTAATTTGCCAAGAAATGGTAAGATAACCATGAGTTAGCCCGAGCCTGCCTACATAAAGCAGGGAAACAGACTAAGAAGTGGGCAAACAAAAATCTAATGAACGTAAATTTCCAAGAAGGAGACATAGTCCTTGTCAAACTCACAAACATCTTACGCAACCAAGATAAACATAAAGGGTTGGTGCGAAGATACGAAGGACCATTCAAAATCAAGAAACGAATAGGCACCATGTCCTACAAGTTAGACTTGCCACAAACCATCAGGGCTCATCTTGTGTTACACATGGGCCTACTCAAGCCTTTTCATCCAGACAAAGATGATCCCGATCGAAGTATTTCCCATCGAGCTCCAGTTGGAATAAAAGCATATTACGAAAGGGAAGTTGAGCCATCCATGCTGAAAGAGCCAATCACCGAGTGGGGCACAAACCAAGGCACTAATACCTTGTTCAATTGAAGGGGCTTCCCGAAAACGAATGGAGCTGGGAACCTGCCGAAGCCCTATGGCAAATCAAGGACAAAATCGAGCAATTTCATTCAAGCCGATTGACGAGGGCGTCACTATAACTAGTGGGGGAGAATGTCACAGATCGTGACCATGAGGGCGAGTCCAACACCCACTAGCGCACATTCGCGCACACCTAAGCACTCCCAGGCCCATACGCATCAGGTGGCATGCAAAGTCTGCCCCAAAACGCACCAAGGGATGCGCTAAGCCCACACCAGAATTGGATAAGGCCGAGCACACTGTGACTCAGGCCCTCTCCAAGCCAAGACCGACCCTCCCTAAGAAAAGGGACAAAGCCACCATCCTTGTTTAAGTAGGATTCAACCTTTAGACTTTTAACTAAAGTAGGGATGTACTTTTAGTTAGAGTAGAAGTAAACTTAGTCATTAACTCTTAGGGGATTCTCATTATAAAAGAGGCCTCCCCACCCCCATTGTATTCATTCATTCTTTCTCTTGGAAATAAGACTAACCCGGCTTTCAAGTCAAATACTCTCGTGCTGTCTTTCTTAGTTCATTTCTTTTTATTGCTTAATCGTCGCGCCTACTTCTCTATTCTCCGTCTGCAGTTATGCTCAGTGATGGTGATCGGCTGACCTCCAAACATTATTCCGTCACCACTTAAAAATTTATTTCACATGTTCATGCATTAAAATTTTGGCTCGAAACATGAACGTAAACGGATACCAGCAGTCAATAATCATGTAATTGTACGGAAGGAATGTTGTTTTTACTTCTTTCCTTGCCGATAAAGTTGGAGAAGAAGTAGTGTTTAAATATTCGATTTTTTTTCTTTAGTTCAGTCTCTGCCAACAATGCCAAAGCTTTTACGTGCTTTCCAGAAAAACCAACAGTTTTCTTACAAGGAACAACGACGTAACTGGATTAAACGGTTGCCCGTTATAAAGTGAAACACTTGTGGGGTATACTTACTGGGAGAGAATTCATGCATACATATAGTGGCTAAGACAAAGCTTTCATGAGTTCTGAATATAGTACCAGAAATCAAGTCATTAAGTACCAGAAAAGTAGATTTTTAAATTCAATTGCCGACAGCTCCCAGCTCCCACCAGCTTGTGACCAAGAACCAAAAGAATGAACTGCCCAGTGTAAAGTGTAAACTACTAGTTATCATACATGAACAAACATTTCAACACCAATCAAATCCTTCATTTTTCCTCCAAACCCACTTCTCTCTTGAAAAACTTCCTAAAGATTTAATCTAACCAAAAACCAGAAAAGATTTAAGCTTTTTTGAATTTTGTTTCTGGGGTTTTTTAGAGATAACAATGTCATCATCACCATCACCAGAGGCTACTCTAGCACCGACTTCTCCACATTCAACAAATTCTACCTCCCCTCCGCCGCCAACCGCCATCCCATCAGCTCCTCCGCCTTCAACAATCCCCTCCCCTCCTGCTCCTTCCACTTCATCACCCGTCATCCTCTACTTCCCACCGGCGCCAACCGTCACATATCCTCCACCATCATCATCATTCAGTCCTTCCCCTCCGTCTCCTTCTACATCAACACCGAGAACTCCAGGGACTCTTTCACGGTCATCGCCTTCAAGGGACTCGGGGATTTCATCTTGTCCGTCAATGCGGCAGTCTGAGCCGGGAAGTGGGGTGACGGCGGGAGTAGTGGTTGGGATGGCAAAATCAACGAGATAATGCGGTGAAATTTTTTTTTCACGAGATAGTGCCCTCGCCAGATTAATTGCTCAGATAGGGTGATCTCTACAGTCCCACGTCTCTGGGGGTAGGTCGCCATCCACGCCCAGCGACCTACCAGGTCGCCATGCACGCCCCAACACGGTGGGCATCCGAGACCATCCGACCGAGGCCATCCGACCGAGGCCATCCGACTGAGGCCATCCGAACGAGCTATGTGAGGGCATCCGAGGGCAACCGAGCGAGCTATGCGAGGGAATCCGGGCAACCGAGCGAGGGTAGGTCGCCCGGTTGCTCGGATTCCCTCGCATAGCTCGCTCGGTTGCCCTCGGATGCCCTCGCATAGCTCGTTCGGATGGCCTCGGATGCTCTCGGATGGCCTCGGATGCTTTCGGATAGCCTCGGTCGAATGGCCTCGGATGCCCAGCGTGTTGGGACGTGCATGGCGACCTTTGGGGGCTGCATGGATTGCATGGCTACCTACCTAGGTCGCTGGGCGTGCATGGCGACCTGGTAGGTCGCTGGGCGTGCATGGTGACCTATATGGGGACTGTAAAGATCACCCCATCTGAGCAATTAATCTGGCGAGGGCACTATCTCGTGAAAAAAAAAATTCAACGCATTATCTCGTTGATTTTGCCCCCCTATTGCTATCCCAACCGGCTAAACTCACGATATAATGCACTCAAAATAAATAATTCACGAAATAACGTTCTCCCAAGATTATTTGCTGAAATAGGGTGAAATCAACAGTGTGGCCGTAGGTCGCCATGCCTTCCGGGCGACCTACGACGATGCACAACCCAACCATAGGTCGCCATGCACTCGAAGAATTAATTGCTGAAATGGGGCGATTGCTACAGTAATTGTGTTGGTCGCCAGGTGATCCAAACGACCTATTTAGGTCGCCATGCAGGCTGTGCGCCATTGTTGGTCGCCATACAGGCTATGCGCCATTGTTGGTCGCCACGAAGGCCATGCGACATT